TTGAGGTGAGTCTTCACGATCAAGTGAGGAGCGCCCAGGGAAGGGCTTGGGGCCCTGACCAGCGGACCCAGCAAGGCCCGTGGGCAGGAGGGTGACATGCCATCTGTGTGCTGTGAAAAGGCACTGGAGTCTGAATGGACATCCTTCATCTCCAAGCAGACCACAGGGTTTCGGTGGCAACAGGCGCCTGTGGGCTTTGGTGTCAGAGTCCTGGGTTCCAATCACAGCGCTGCGACTTATTGCCCTGGAAACTGACCCAAGTTACTTCGTTTCTCTCAACCCCAGTGTCATGTTCTTTAGAGCGGAAAGGAAGACGCGGTGTATTTAAAGGCGTGGCATACTGTGGGCCCTCTCTGCAAATGAGTGCAGCGTGAGTGTCGCTAATGGCCTCCCAGGCGTCCTGTGCAGGGGGTCCCTCTGCAGGCCATGCAGAGAGGCCTGGATGTGTGTTTGAGTTCAAGACCGCTGAGTTTACTTGGCCACCTGGTTTCTCACTGCCACCGTCCTCCAGCCACCGCATGACCTTGGTCACATCAGCTGCCCGCTCTGAGCCTGTTTCTCCTGCTCAGTGTGCACAACTGTCCCTCCTCACCGTGTGGCTGTCCGTGTTAGTGTGGAAATACTGTATGTGGAGGGATCTTCTAGCGAGCACGGTGCTCTCTGTCCTCACGGAGGAAGGCCCTCACCTTGAATCGGGGTGGCTAAGGCATCGGAAGTGTGGAAACACGGGGAAGGTGGGGGGTAACTAGAAATCAGGACCAATGTGCATGCCTGGGGGGGAGGCAGAAAGTCAATCAGCCCGTGTGTGCTGCCTCCTGCCACCTAACGCTGCAATCTGCCTGAGTATTCTCACTGCCATCTGTCAGCAGCTCGAAGATCTGTGGCCTTGTTCTGTCCTCCCTGTGCTCACAGCTGCTTAGCAAGACTCCGCTGGGAGGTCAATGTTAGGGGGGTGGGGGGTGCTGGCGGCAGGCCGCAGTGGGCCTTAGAAACAGCATTTTGTATTTAGCTTTGCTTCTCATATTTACATTTTAAAAATATGTATGCAGCACGCCCAACCCACCCAGAATTTGACTTATTAAACCTGAAAGTAGGCACTGGGCTCATTTTACAGATGAGGCTCACGGAGTGGAGTAGGACTTTTTGGTGGCCAGGGATAGAAACCACAACTCAAACTTGGCTTAAGAATGAAGGGGGATGCCCAAAGTCACTGATCATCCGAGAGATGCAAATTAAAACAACAGTGAGGTATCACCTCACACCTGTCAGAATGGCTACCATCAACAAATCAACAGACAACAAGTGCTGGCGAGGATGTGGAGAAAAGGGAACCCCCGTGCACTGCTGGTGGAAATGCAGACTAGCGCAGCCACTGTGGAGAACAGTATGGCGTTTCCTCAAAAAATTAAATATGGAACCGCCATTTGACCCAGTGATCCCACTTCTAGGAATATATCCTAAGAAACCTAAAACACCAATCAGAAAGAATATATACACTCTATGTTCATAGCGGCACAATTTACAATAGCTAAGATCTGGAAACAGCCCAAATACCCATCAGCAGACGAATGGATAAAAAGGCTGTGGTACATTTACACCACAGAATACTATGCAGCAGTAAAAAAGAAGGATCTCTTATCCTTTGAGACAGCGTAGAGGGACCTAGAGAGCATTATGCTAAGTGACATAAGCCAGTCAGAGAAAGACAAGTATCACATGATCTCACTCAGATGTGGAATCTAATGAACAACATAAACTGGTGAGCAAAATAGATCCAGAGACAGAAACGCAGAACAGACTGCGGAACCTCAGAGGGAGGGCGGAGGAGGGTGGGTGGATGGGAAATGATCGACCAAAAAACTTGTATGCGTACATATAAGCATAACCCATGGACACAGACAAAAGGCAGGGGCAGGGCAGGTTAGAAGGGGGCAATGGGGGAAAAGGGGGGACATATGCAATACTTTCAACAATAAAGACTTTTAAAAAGAAAAGAATAAAGGGGGAAGCTTCTTGGCTCATGTAACTGAAAAGTCCAGAGGTAGAGCTCGTTCCAGGAAAAGTTAGTTAGGACCCAGGACTCAGATGATCCCCATGGTTGGGGGGAGGGGAGGAAGCACAGGAGGGAGAGAAAGATCTTTTTCTCTGTGGTTTTCACTCTCAGATTTTCTTTACACTAGATCCCCAAGTCCACCACTGAAAAGTTGCCTCTCTCAATGGTCCCAGCAAAAGAATTTGAATCATATGCCAGCCCTGACCCAATCTGACTGCCCAGGGGTTTAAAAGGCTTTGATGGGTGCGGAGAGGGTCATGTGCCCAGCCCTGGCGCAATCTCTGAATAGCCAAGAGTTTGGACGGCTCTGATTGGTCAGTTCTGGATCCTAAACAAAGCCCTGCAACTGGGGCTGGGTCACCTCCCGGAAACCCAAGCACTGAGAATAGGGATGTTATGATCTTGTAAGGGGCTCACCAGGGTGCTGCTGGAGAAGTGGGTTTAAAACACTGACCGTCCCCTCGAGGCCCAAGGGGGGGGGGGGGGGGGGCTGCCCATCATCACACAGGGGCACAGCCCAGACTCTCATCTCAAGCTGGCTGGTTCCAAAGGCTTTTCTATTTTTGCTATTGAGGGCAGCAACCCTCAGTTCCAGTTACACATTAGAATCAAGGCAGGTAAAGGGTTAAAACAAACACCAGGACTGGACCATACCCCCTGAACCAAGAAATGAAATGCTTTGGGGGTGGGGGGTGGGCATCAGTATTTCTCAAAATACTGATTGTACTGTGCAGCCAAAGTCAAGAACTAGTGGATTAGGCATACGCTCCCCGTCCCCCACTATAAGCTGTAGGTGTGGTCACTGTCACCAAGGGGCTCAGAACCCAGAAAACCTAGATGAGTTTGGGGAGGATGAGCAGGTGCCTGGGACACGTGGGATGTGACCTGGTGCAAATCGACCTTGTGCAGTCTGGCCTTGGAGCTGACGCCGGCTGCATCGGAATCAAGGCAGGGCTTCTCACTTGAGTGGGGCGGGCATGCTGGCCCCTTTGTCGCCTTGAGCATCCCAGGCTAAAGCGTATAAATCACTTCAGCAGCTGCCTAGCTGGCGATGCACCCTGGAGGAGGGAGAAACGCCGCGGTCTCCAGCGAGTGTTGCTCTTCCGTTTGCCAGGGCAGCCCAGCCAGGGCTGTGGGCTGGGAACGGGCTTGCATGGGCAAACACCTGGCGGCCAGACTGCTCCTGGGGTTCCAGGCCACCAGGGCCATCTGTCCCTCTTCTAAGAAAAGGAAAAAATTTCAAATTGTAGCTACTAAGGAACCTGCTTCTACAAGGATAGAAAGGAGCCACTGGCTGCCCTGCCTGCCCCCCCCCCCCCACAAATCAGATGTGCTTATCCATCTCTGCCTCACCCATCCTGCCTCCTCACCTGCTTCTCTGTAACTGCCTGGGACCTCGGCCATGGCAGGAAGGGAACCAGCATCGCTGCTTTGCCTGCCAGGGACCATGCCTACAGAGGCGCGATCTGAGGCTCCCAGAGGCTCCGGGACTGGCCAGAGGTCACGTGGGAAGAAGCACCTGGCACCGAGTCCTGGCACCAGCTTTCCTTAAGCCCGAGTCCCTGTTCTTGGCCAGGGTGACACTGGCCATTCCTTAACCTTCCACAGGCCTGTTCTTGTCTCTCCCGCCCCACCCCCATTCTTTTAGAACATCCTGCTTCGGTCACTATACGCTTAGGGTCCTGCCTGTCGCTGTGACACCATCCAAAAACCAAGAGCCTCCAACTCAGCTGTGCCCGGCTCAGGGCTCCTGCCCGACAGACGACACCACCATTTCACTGGTTTTCAGCAAGACCCTTTATTGATCTCCTGTTCCCCATCACGTCACACGAGGGCAGGCAGCCAGGTGCCTGCGCGGGCTGTTGGCTCTGTAAATGTGGAGCGGTCGGTATGTACAGAAATCATGCACCTCAAGTGATTCTTTAACAAATACAAGTGAGGAGACTTCAGGTGTTTTGGAAGGTCTGCCCTTTCCTGCATTCTAATCACTGAAATCTCTCGCAGACATTTCACTCAACCGCGGACACGTTTTCTTGGCACACTTGCTAGGATCTGCCTAGTGCGTTTCGGGTCGTGGTTACTTCTCACAGAAGCTGCTGGCTTCCATGTGGATGGAAACACAGGACCTGCACACGTGACAGGCCTGTATTCATACCGCGCCACGGCCTCCTTGACCTGACACTGCCGTTACCCATGATGCGAACCAGCATCTGGTATGGATGGAGGAGGCTGCCCTCCACACCTCAGCTAACAGGAGGACGTTTCTAGACTTAGCGCCCCCACCTGGCCGTGTCCTTCACAGGAGATGGGAGGGCCAGGCCAGCGCCGGGACCAGGGTCCTCTGGGTCTGTCGGTCTTCCGGGGATCCCCGCTCACACGTTCACTTCGGCTGCCATCACTCAGCTCACGCCTTCGAAATAACAGGGCCACAGGGCTGACTCTCGCACTGAGTCCAGCGTTTGAACATTTATGTACAGACAGGTAAATGGAAAATCATAGGCAACGAAACTCCAAACGAAACAGACACTTGGGTCACACCTGGAGGTCCAGTTCTGCCAGAGAAAGGCTGCCCAGATGTCGCTGGACAAGTGGAGTCTCGGCCGCCACAGCTCCAAGGGGCCAACCAGGCGGTCTCCGAGCTCAGCGTCACAACGGCTAAAACGGGGACTGCGCAGGCCCGGGTGGCAGTGGGGCTTCTGTAGGCAGTGAGGTAAGTGAAGTACTCGTTCTGCGGCTGAGCCGAGGGAGCCCCGCCCGAGGACACCAGCCTCGGCTCTGAAGGGGAGCCATGTCACTCCGGTCCCGCAGCCGCACGCTCTCCGCCATCAGACGGACAGGGTTGGCGGTGGGGTGAGAGGATGGTGACATTTCCCCAGGCCGTGCCCCTGCCCATGTCCACCCTGCCCATGCAGCTGGCCAGGTGCAGGGACTGCAGCCTCCCCCTGCCTGGGGAGCGGGTGGGTCCCCCTTGTGGCCGTGACAGCAGCAAAGGCCACCTTCTCTAGTGCTCGGGTTTGTAGGGTTTTCTGTTTTGTATGGTGACCACAAGAAGATTTACGTTGTTACATTCAGACAAAGAACCATCTGATCACTGAAAAAAACAAGTGGCAACATGACACCGACAACAGGGGCACTGAGCCTCTGGGAGCCTCTGGCCGCAGAGCGCAGTCCCGTGCCATTAGGCGGAAACGAACCGCGGAAGCAAACGAACAGAAGGAAAAAGACCTCTAAGGAAATACAAGCTGGAGTTTCCCACTAACAACGGGAAGAAGGAGGGACCCAACGTGGTATAAAAATCCCGAATGAGAGCTTTCTGTCGAGGCAGGTTTCTGAGCATGGAATTGTAACACGTGGGCGCTGGACCGGCCCACGGCTGTCCCGGCTGGCCCCAGGCCACTCTCGCCGACCTGGCACGGGAAGTGTTCTCATCGGCCTGGAGCAAAGATGAAATCCAGGGCCTGCCGTTCAGCCGCGGCGACATTCGGATGCCACAGATCCACCATGAAAACCACCCGTGGGCCATCCTCCGCGGCACCTGGGATGGGGGTGAGAGAGGAGAGGTTCGAACAGCCCGAAGCCAGGACCCACGGTTATAGCTTTCCAGCACAGAGCGGAAGAGTTCCTGCTCTCTGATCAGGAATGTGATCCTGGCTTCCTACGGTTCCAAGCAGAGTGCATAACAGGAGCAGGCAGAGGGAGAGGGGTATGTAAGAACACAAGGCATTGAGGGACTGAAGCTACTCTGTGTGATCCTGTCATGGTCCGTACATGTCATTACACGTTTGTCAAAACCCACAGAATGTACAACACAGAGTGAACCCTAATGCAGACTATCGACTTACTTAACAACAACGTGTCGCTATGAGCTCATCAGTTGTAACAGATGCACCACACTAATGCCAGATGCTAGTAAAAGTGGAAATTGTGCATCGGGAGAAATTGTGCATCGGGCTGTGTACTTTCTGCTCAATTTTTCTGGAAGCCTAAAACGTCTCTAAAAATAAAGTTCATTTTAAAAGGGCAGCAGTACCCAGGTTTTTTATTCTTTTGGTTGCTACTGCAAAAGGAATTGTCTTTTCCATTTCTTTTTCTGAAGTTTTGTTAGTATACAGGAAGGCAATGGATTTTTGCACATTGAGTTTGTATCCTGCAACCTGACTGCATTTGTTTATTGTTTCTAGGAGTTTTTTGGTAGAATCTTTAGGGTTTCCTATCTGCAAAAAGCGAGTTTGACTTCTTCCTTCCCTATTTGAATGCGTCTTATTTCTTTCTCTTGCCTTATTGCTCTGGCTAGGACTTCCAGCACTATGTTGAATGGTGAGAGTGGACATCCTTGTCTTGTTTCTGATCTTAGGGAAAAAGGTTTCAATTTCTCACCACTAAGTATGATATTAGCTTAGGGTTTATCATATATGGCCTCTATTATGTTGAGGTAGGAGTAAACTTAAAGAATGTAAAAAATCTATATACTAAAAATTACAAAGCATTACTACGAAAGATTAAAAAAGACACAACAAAATGGAAAAATATCCCATGTTCATGGATTGGAAGAATCAACATAGTTAAATGGCCATATTACCCAAAGCAATATACAGATTTAATGCAATCCCCATCAAAATCCCAATGTCATTTTTTAAAGAAATATAACGAGAAATCATCAGATTTGTATGGAACCACTAAAGACCCAGAGTAGACAAAGCCATGCTGGAAAAAAAAAGAACGAAGCTGGAGGTATCACAGTACCTGACTTTAAATTATATTACAGAGCTACAATATTCAAAACAGCATGGTATTGGCAGAGAAACAGACACACAAATCAATGGAACAGAATAGAGAATCCAGCTATAAAACCACATGCATATGGACAGATAATTTTCGACAAACGAGCCAGAAACGCACATTTGAGTAAAGGTAGTCTCTTCAATAAATGGTGCTGGGAAAACTGGAAAGCCACATGCAAATAAATGAAACTGGATTGCAGTTTGTCCCCATGTACATAAATTAACTCAAAATGGATCAAAGACCTACACATAAGACCCAAAACTGTAAGTGACATGGCAGAAAATATATGGTAGGTACCAAACTTATGGACCTGGGCCGTAGAGGACATTTTATGGACTTGACCCTAAAGGCACGGGAGGTAAAGTCAAAAATAATGAGTGGAACTGTATCAAACTAAAAAGCTTCTGCACAGCAAAGGAAACTGACAACAGAACAAACACGCAGCCAACCAGATGGGAGATGATATTTGCACACAGCTGCTCCAACAAAGGTTTAATTTCCAAAATATATAAAGAACTCGTAAAACTCAACACCAAACAAACAATCGAATCAAAAAGTGGGCAAAGGACCTGAAAATACCCCTCTCCCGGGATATATGAAAAGATGTTCAACTTCCCTGGCAATTAGGGAAATGCAAATCAAAACTACCATGAGATCATCTTACACCTGTACGAGTGGCCATTATCAACAAGACAAGCAACAACAAGTGGTGGAGAGTTTGTGGAGAAAGGGGAACCCTCACTCACTGATGGTGGGAATGTAGACTGGTACAACCACTGTGGAAGCAGTTCTGGTGATTCCTCAAAAAATTAAGAATAGAGCCACGGTGTGACCCAGCAACCCCACTCCTGGGTATATACACAAAAAACTCAAACTCATGTATTCGCAAAGATTATGCACCCCTATGTTCATTGCAACATTATTCACGGTGGCCAAGACATGGAAACAACCGAAGTGTCCTGCGACAGAGGATGGATAAAGAAGATGCGGTACATATATACAATGGAATGCTACTCAGCCACAAGAAAGGATGAAATAGCGACATTTGCAACAACATAGATGGACCTTGAGAACATTATGCTAAGTGAACTAAGTCAGACAGAAAAAGCTAAGCACCGTATGATTTCACTGAGGAATATAAAACTGAAACTTATGAACACAAACAGCAGAGTGGTGGGTGCCAGAAGGAAGGGGGTCCTAACAGGAGGTGATAGAAGATCTGATTTTGGGCGGTGGGCACATGGTGCAATAGACAGATCTGGTAACATAAAGATCTACACAGGAAACCTATATGTTCATGATGACCAATGTCACCCCAATCAATTTAGTAAAGTAAATAAATAAATAAAAGAGCGGCAATAGGGAAGGCAGGCACTCACCTTCATGGAATGCGGTGTGTAGGAAAGAGTCGTCAAAGAGAAGGCAGCGGCCTTCTGCCCAACACTGCGGCTCGCCCCCCACCACCAGCTCACAGCCACTTGGAGTTTTCAGACCTCGGAGGAAAAGGTAGAGCAGAGAGTGAAGGCAGGCGAGATCAGGCATGGCCAGAAGTCAGGGTGGCCGGAAGTCAGATGTGACCGGAAGTCGTGGGGCCGGAAGTCAGAGTTAGCCGGATGTTTGGGGGCGGGCAGCTCTCGACTTCCAATCTTTATCCTCTTCCGGAGGGGGATAGTTCAATAGGGCAAATGCGGGGTAAGCACCTGGATCCTCTCCGTACCCCTTGGAAAACCTCATTCCTCCATTGGCTTAACCTGCTCTGGGTCCTGGGCGCCTCTGCTAAAGCCGGGAACCGAGCTTGCCCTACACGCTGAAGTCTCCGGAAGACCGACCGCGGCACCACCGGAAACTGCGGGAGCAGGTTCAGAACCCTGCCTGTCAATAATCGTGTTTCCTACAGTCCCGCCTCTAGGGCTGCTCTAGGTGAGACCGAAGACGCAAAGGCTCACACGGTGCCCTCCTCTTTGGGTTCCAACCCTTCCATCCATTTTGAGGCCCGAGGATGGCTTGTTAATCGGGGTTCCCTTGGCTCCATTCTGGGAAACCGGAGGACACCCGCAAGAAAACGCCCGATCTTCAGGAGGATGTGGAGCGACACCTGCTGCGGAGCCATATACTTAAAAAGCGCCAGTGGCGAGGCCCACGTTTGGTGCCCAGCCCAGGAGGGTCTGCTGGAAGTGCTGCCGCGCATGCGCGTTCACGTCCCCTCGCCAAGCCCAAGGTCTGGGGAAATGGCTGAGTGACTCACTGTAACAAGCACGCCCCTGGGCCAGTCGGCAGTGTCCCTTATGACAAAATGAGACAGCCTTTTCTCTCACAGACGGGGTATTGTAATGCACTCTCGGAGCCAAAAATGGATGGTTCCGGGAAGCGTGAATGCAGTAAGAATTCTAACGGAGGCCCTGGGATCAGATCACTGACTCTCACTCGCATCTGTGTGACTCTGGGCAAGCACTCGATCTCTCTGAGCCATAGCCCCCTTGTCTGTAAAGAGGGGGCATGAGCATACTTACCTGCCAGTGCTGCTCGACCACTGTCCTTGCTACTAATATCTGAAGACTGACTGTGCGCAGGCTTGTGTTAAATAAACACTTTACAGACCTCACTTCGCCTACTTCCCAGACGGAGCAACCGGGATAGAGATTTTAAGGGACCTGCTGGAGGTCACTGTTTAGTCCTGGCAGGAGCTGAGATTTGAATCCAAACTGTCTGGCTCCGAGAACAGGCTCTTATAACACTGGCCAGCATGACGTAAATGCTGGCTATTACATTAGCAGCAGTGGTAGTTAAGTGGTTGTTGATTTTCCTGCAGTTAATGGTAAGTTTCAACCATCAATAGCACATTTCATTGCACCAGCTGAGACTGTCCATTCTGACTCTGAAACCACGACCTCCCGCTACTGTTAACTGCTGGGGGTTACGGGTCCAGCCGCTGGCGCAAATGAAGAGAGCCCCACAGGCCACGTCCCCTTCATGCGTGACCGTACTGCTGGTGCAGGTGGAGAAGGCCTTTAGGACAGGCGCTTCTCTACAAGGACAGTCCACCCCAGGGGTTCAGAGAGAAGCTCCCCTTTCTCTGAGACACTAAATGACTGACTGCCATGAGCCACAGTACAACAGAAAACGGTGTGTCTTGCTGGTTTATCAGCCCCCTGCTTCCTCCCCCCCACACTCTGCTCCAGCCTCCAGTGGCCCACCATTCCTGCCTCTTGCTCACAAACCAGTCTAGTTGGCAGAAGTAATCATTAACCCCCCAAATGAGAATCCAGGTGGCTCCTGGGTTAGAGACAGTCCCACATGCCCAGGCCTCTCTCTGGCTTGGGGTTTGCTGCCTTCCCCACCAACCGCTGACGGAGGCAGGAGAAGGTGGAGAAAGGCTCTGCCCACCAGTGGCCTCACTTCAGGAGGCCGGCGGCTGACACTGAGGGTGGGCAAGGCAAACACAAGCTGATCTGCTGGTACCACGCAGGTGGGTGGCCCAGAAACCTGACAGCATACGCACGAAAGAAAATTGAGAGTGGAATTGTGCTTATTTAGTGAGAATTTGCTGAATATGCATTTTTATCTACCCTTTCCCAAGGGTGAGCCCTTTGGATGGGTGCCTGCCTCCGCGTTGCCACCTGCCTGGTAATCGTCAAAGGTTGCTTCCTAGAGGTTTGTGGCAGTGCTGGCAGGACGTCCCAGCCCCCCACACAGTGCCAGGTGGTGGCCAGGCAGGAGCTGTCCCTGGTTCTGCACGGAATCAAAGCTGAGTGACACCACCTCTGGAGGTAGTGCAGGACAGGGCTCAGCAAATGACTGGGCACGTGAGGAGCAGTGGCTGGAGGGACAGTACCACCAGTCACAACGCAGATGGCAGGCAGAAAAGGAGGACAAGGCTTGGCATTCCAGAAACCACAGTACCTCCGCCACCTACAGCCAGGTAACTGACAGGTGTGGCCACCAGACACCTGTCCTGCTGGCCCTGTTTCCGACCTCCTTCTCTGGCCTCCCTCTCTGTCAACACTCAAGGTCACGTGAATCACACACACCCTTCTTTCCTTCCTGGTGCATACGAATGTGGGCATGACCGTGGAAAGAAGGAAACGGTGAGCAGAGCCAACCACGGAGCTCACCTGGCCTCGGGGACTAGCCACACTCCAATGGGACGCCTTCCAAGGCTTCCTGCTGCTGCCCTGGGAGCATGACGTGGCCCACTTTCTCTGGTGGCCAGTACCCAGCGGGCCAAGGAGGGGAGGACAGGTCATCAAGGGACCTGTGGGTGTGATTTACACACACACACACACACACACACACACACACACACACTTAAACTGCATGGATGCACAACAGGCATTAATACACAGGAGGCAAATCTTTGTTCCTCACCACAAGCCCTTCCTACTCAGCACACCTGCCTGGAGTCCCACCCCACCTGTCCTCAAACGCCCTTCCTTGCATCATTTGGAAGTTTTTAGAAAACATAAAAGGAAGCCTTTTAAAACAACAGCGTTGTTCCCCATGGCCCACAGCCTTAATACCAAGCCTGACGGGGGAGCAGGGGGAGGCTCTGTGGTTTGCTCCCACCCGACCTCTCCAACCTCGGCCTCCACCACTGGTCACCCCAGCAAGCCAGACACGGCTCCCCCAAACCCCCAAGGGAAGCCTCCTCCCCAGCGGCGCCCTTCCAGGCCAGACCACCTGCCCTGAGCAGCCCACCTGCAGCCCTCTCGTCCTCTGACCTCAGGAAGCACCCTGGTGCCTCGCACAGTGATTTCACTGATCATGATCTGTCACTTGGATGACCACCTCCGCTCTTAGGTTAATCATGGCCCCTTGACCTGACCGCTCTCGACCTGCCAAGCACTTCACACAGAGAGCACCCCCAGGCCTCCACCAGCCGTCCGGCGGGGATCACTACCTCCATTCGAGAGAGGAGAACACGGTGGCTCCAAGGTCACTCAGCACATAGGGCAGACCAATCAGGGCCCAGCGCATTTGCTTCCACAGTCTGCTCATTCCCCATGGTTCCCGAGGGCAGAGACCATGTCTCCTGGGTTCTTTATCACATGGTCCAGCCTGGTGTCGGGTCCTCAGAGCTACCAGCAACTGCTTATCCAATGCTGTCACGTGCCAGGCACTGTGTCGAGCAGCCATAGGAGATATTACTTGATGTGACCCTCTAATGATCCTGTGAGATAAGTACTCTCTCCCCATTTCACAGATGAGGAAACTGAGACACAGAGACCCAGTTACTTGCCCAAAGTGACACAGCTGACCACGAAGCCAGGCCACCGCGACCCTGCTCTGCCTGTCTTCTTGAAATACTCGAGGTGTCAACTGCTCGAATCTCACACCCTTTGCTTTTCAAAGCAGTGAAGCCCTCTGTTGAAGCCACACTTTATTCATAATCCAGAGAGAACAGAAGCAGAGGGCTCTGGGTGCGTGAAGGGGGCGTGGAGGGCATGGGCGTGTGGGCCCCCCAGTGCAGCCCGAGGTTCCTCTGTGGGGGTAATTATGAACCCTGCTCCGGCCACATCGGGCTTATGTGTTTCTCCTCCCTCCATCCTGATGCCCAGGCAGCGCTGCAAACTCCCCAGAGCTGGGCCTGGCCCCGCACACTCCTCCAGTCTGGGATGCTAACCCGAGGTGCCATCGCCCCGGTAACCAAGCCATTATCATGACTCACCAGGAACAAACGAGGCATTCTGGGGAACGAGTACCCCATTTACCAAGCTGTTTCCAAGCCTACGTTTAGCAAGTACTCCCTCTCTATCATGCTCTGCGTCAACAAATGCTTCACAACACACAATCTCCCAGATCCTCAGCGTAACTCTGTAAAAGGTGATCTTCCAAATGAAGAAACCGAGGCTCAGAGAGGTGAAGTGACTTGCCCAAGGGAACACAGCCAGCTCGAGGTGGGGCCAGGATGCAAACACAGGCAATCAGACCCCAACCCTGTCCTCAAAACCACAGCTGCACACAATGCACGCCTTGCCCACTTCCCTAGAATCTGGGTAGCATCACCACGGAGCATCGGTTTATCTCTGAGCATCAGAAGGCATGCGGCATCTCTCACAGCCTCCGCATCATCATGGACCTCAGAGATCACTGTAACCATCTCTGGCTCTGCAGGGCCACTGCTCAACAGCCACTAGCCATGTGCTGCTATTTAAATTTTAATGCCAATTAAGTTAAAAACTGAGCCCCTCAGTGGCACTAATCACATCTCAAGCACTCAGCGGTCACGTGGGGCCAGTGGCTACCGTATCAGACAGTGCGCACGGAGACCAGGCCCGTCAGCACAGAAAGCTCCCTTTGGACAGAGCTTCTGTCAGTATCACATTACAATGATCATTGTTTTGACCCAATCTTTGATGTCAAACTGTTTACAGGTGGCTCATCAATTTGTGAGAGAAGCACAACAACAAAAGATGTGAAAAGAGCAGGAATTCTGGCTACTGAGCTTTCGGGGGTGTCTGGATTCCCCCGGAAGTCAGGCCCGACGCTACTGAGAAGGGGTGCGTGCCGGGACCCCGGCCCCACAACATACCTAAGTGGCATCGGATGCGGATGTTGGTGGGTCCGTAGTGCTCCGTGATCACAGTCCCGGGGCTCAGCACGGAGATGCACGCGTTCCCAAAAACATTGTTCCCAATACAGGTCCGAAGGCTGCCGAGCAAGCGGTACGTCCGTGGGCACTTCCTGCAGTTCCTGGGCACGCACACCCCCTGGTTGACCAAGTAGAAGGTGACCCACTCCCCGCTGGGGGTGCTGTTCATTTTCCAGCCCTGCGGGAGGCTGCAGTTGGAGAAGCCCTTGTACAGGGCCTCGAACTCGCCCAGGATGGTGGGGAAGCTCCGCTCCAGCAGCTCCACGTCGTGCCTCTGGGCGTCCCGGGAGAAGTAGGGCGTGGTGGGGAGGTCGGGCAGGAAGAAGACCTCGGGCTTCTGGATGGAGGGCCGGCTGTTGAGGTAGCGGCCCTGCTCGCGGATGCCCTTGTGGATGCGGCCCATGCCCGACCAGGAGTAGCGCTTGGCGTACTCCTGCAGGTTGTGGTAGAGTTTCTGGTTGAGGCCCTCGTTGTGGGTGCAGCGCACGCACTCGGGGGACTGGCAGTACACGTACCCGTTCTGCAGCCCGTTGGCGTCGGCGCCCTGCATGAGGGAGTTGACGGAGGCGTAGGGCCGGGGCTGCTCCCGGCCCACGTGGTAGCAGTACCACACGAACAGGACCAGCAGGCAGGCCACGGTGGCCACGGCGGTGGTGTCGCAGTCCCGCACGGACTGGATGCCCGTGGCGATGCAGTCCCGGAGGCCATCCAGCGACCAGCTCCAGGCCACCAGCCACTCGAGCGACATCTTGGGGGAGTTGGTGTCGTGGGTGTGAAGCAAGGTCAGACAGTCAGTCCCCAAGGGCACCCACACTTTGCAGGTTAGCACGGGGCAGCGGGGGCAGGGGGTGGCATGGCTGCCCCCGTTCTTCCTCCGATCCTGTTCAGGGTGGCATTGACAGGCGAGGCCGCCTGTGCCCACCACCCCACTCCAGGCAAAAGGGACTGGGCAGAGTGGCAGGAGCTGCTTTATGTCACATTAGCAAGTGGTGTTGGTCACTACAAAATGATTTTTTTTTAAGTCCAAACCTGGATGAAAAAAATAAAAAAAAAAACACAGCATAAATTTTTACACTGGGAAAAATCCTCATGTGAAATATCAAGTCCCAGATCATTTCGTAAGGCCCTTGTTGGCAGGGGACACACTTCTCAGTCTTGTATATTCTCTCTCCACCACCCCCTTTTCCCAAAGGACCAGCGGTGTTTCATCTGCATCGAGTCCTGTTTGACCATGACAGTAGTCCCATGAATTTCACAGCATCCTGAGGAGGTGCTAAGGTTCCCATTTCACAGATGAGGACACTGAGGCTCAGAGACCCTATACTCCGAGTTCTGC